CTCTCTCTGTCTCAAAAATAAACATTAAGAAAATTAAAAAAAAATTATTCTCAAAAAGATTATTCTAGCACTGTGTCTGGCATATAATAAGCCCTCACTAGATATCTGCAAATTGAATGAATGAATGGCTCCTAGGACATTTGTACTTTCATGGGTTTTTTAAAATGTTTTTATTTATCTTTGAGAGAGAGAGAGCAAGCGAGAACACGTGCAAGCAGGAGAGGGACAGAGAGAGAGGGGAACAGAGGATCCAAAGAGGGCTCTGAGCTGACACCAGTGAGCCTGATGCGGGGTTTCAAGCCACGAACCACGAGATCATGACCTGAGCTGAAGTCTGATGCTCAACTGACAGAGCCACCCGGACGCCCCTACTTTCATGTTCTTAACTGACATCACCCATTCACAGAACATCTGTGATTATTCTTGGTCCTTAGGGCCCAAGAGAAGTGAAAGGGAAGAAAAAAGAGTTCCTTGCCCCAGGGAAACATGCAGACAAAAATGAATAAATAACAGAGAAGGAGGGAAAGGAGAGAGAAAGAGAGAGTGTGCAAGATGGGCCGCTTTGCATTTGTTTGGGACATCCTGCCACCTGGGATGGCAACCTGGTGGTGGCGCTGGGTTCCCAGATCTCACAAGGCAGCCAGAGCAGCCCCAAGAAACCCCTGAGCCAAGAATCCCAGGTGTGGCCCAATGTTGGGTACACAGACGTGAGAGTTTACGGAACAGCAAGTGCATTTATATACTAGTCTAAATACAAAACATATTCCAAACCCAAATAAACCATTTGGATTATCTCCTATTATGACTGTTCATCCAATTGCTCTCCTCCAATTACAGTGCTGATGACATCATTGTTTTGGACAGATTTACTCCGCTTTCTCCACTGGGCTTTTTTTTTTTTTTTTTTCATATGAAATTTATTGTCAAAGTGGTTTCCATACAACATCCACTGGGCTTTTTTTGTTTGTTTGTTTTAAATCGAGTATGTTATACTCTCTCTTTTTTTTTAATTATAAAATATTCCAAATACATAATCCCCAAAGTAATATAGCCGATACAAACTGAACAGATGCTAACACCACTTCATGGGAAAGGACTGTTTGTACCGCTTGAAATGGGGCTAGCTGAAATTGACATGTGCTGTGAGTACAAAATACACACTGGATTTCAAAGACTTATAAGAAAAAAAAAAAGTAAAATGTCTCCTTAACCACTTTTAACATGAGTACATATTAAAATGATAATAATTCCATATGTTGGATTAAATAAATTTAAAAAATTTTTTTCACTTATTTTACAGTTTTAAGTTTATTTTGTAATTTTTTTATTAAAATTTTTTAAAAGCTTTTTTATTTTTGAGAGAGAGAGAGAGAGCGCGAGCGCAAGCGTGAGTGAGGCAGGGGCAGACAGACAGGGAGACACAGAATCCGAAGCAGGCTCCAGGCTCTGAGCTGTCAGCACAGAGCCCAATGTGGAGCTTGAACCCACAAGCTGTGAGATCATGACCTGAGCCGAACTCAGACGCTTAACCGACCGAACCCCCCAGGCACCCCTATGAAGTTCATTTTTAAAAATAATCTCTACACCCAGTATGTTTTTACTTTTTTAATGTGACTACTGGAACATTTTAAATTATGTATGTGGCTCACATTATATTTCTCCTGGACAGTACTGGTTTAGATTATTAAAGGCTGAGAGAGGGGTCATATTTACATATTGTTCGGATACTGCTTTGGATATGGGATTCAGAACAGATGGAATCCTTTATTCCCTTGGAACAATCTGGCTCAGTGTCTTAAAATTTCTATTTGCAGAACTATTAAAATACTAAAACTATTTTCTAACCCAGACCCCCAAAACATGACTTAAGTTTGGACAATTTTGATGATCAAATATATTTTTTAAGGACACGGATCAGGATTTTAGGCAATGTGAGAATCAGGAGGAAAGAGAAATTCGCCCTGGATGGAGATTAGTGGAGAGACCTATATTTCCTGCCTCTCCAAGACCTAATGAACTGCTAAAGATCTTCTCCACAAAAGCATTCGAAATCCATTCAATCCACAACTTGAGTCAAATCTTGAATGTCAACTTTCCTTTAGCCACATTTTAAGGAAATTTTGAGGAACAGGCAAAACACCTTAAACCAATGACTTATTTCAGTTTGCACATTTAGTCTATTGATTCCCAACATTGCACTTAACTTGCCACTGCAGATTTTCTGGTCTATTTGCAGCATTAATCAGAGTAAGCGCTGTCTGAAAAGGCAGTTTTGTTTTGTTTTGTTAGTGAAAAAACATTGAGGATATGCTATGACAGAAAGATCCTAATATTAAAATAGTTTTTCTGGGGCCTTTTAAGAAAAAAAACAACTTTTTTTTTTTTTTTTACCTTTTTTATTAGTAGTTTTTTTTGTTGTTGTTTGTTTGTTTTAAGTAATCTCAACACCCAACCTGGAACTCAAATTCACAACCCCGAGATCAAGAGTCACACACTCTATGGACTGAGCCAGCCAGAGGCCCCTGGGCCCATTTTCAACTGGCTAACATCACTTGTCTAATATCAGTACTTGCTTACAATGCTGTCTTTCAGTAACATTATAATTGTGTTTACAGTTACAATATTAAATACTCAAAAGAGTTAACTTATATGTTGGTTTCCACATTTACAAAGATAGAGTAAACAGCAACTTAAAATATTCATATTCTTTTAGAGATATTGAAGTAGGAAAATATTACTTTTAAAGGATGTTTATTTTTATGAAAGAGTAAGTTTTCAAATGAAAAAAGTTCAATTTTTTAGTTGAAATAAAAAGTTAAATAGTAAGAAGGAGTATAACTGAAAAGTAATTTTCCTTCTTCCATGGGCCAGTCCCTAAAAACAGCCTATGTTAAGAGTGTCTTGAGGGGCGCCTGGGTGGCGCAGTCAGTTAAGCGTCCGACTTCAGCCAGGTCACGATCTCGCGGTCCGTGAGTTCGAGCCCCGCATCGGGCTCTGGGCTGATGGCTCAGAGCCTGGAGCCTGTTTCTGATTCTGTGTCTCCCTCTCTCTCTGCCCCTCCCCCGTTCATGCTCTGTCTCTCTCTGTCCCAAAAAAATAAATAAACGTTAAAAAAAAAAATTAAAAAAAAAAAAAAGAGTGTCTTGAATATCTTTCCAGAACATATTCTATGCGTTTGCAGGCATATAAAAATTAATATAACCAGATGTGAGTAGGCAATATTAATATATGTTATGATATATTCTTTTCTATAAATATACAATCCCTCGAATAAAACGTGGGGTATATTCACACAAAGGAATGTTATTCAACTGAAAATAGGAATAAGAAATTGACACATGCTAAAACATGGATGTACCTTGAAAACATTTTGCCAAGCGTAAGCCATATACAAAAGGCCACATGTTATATGATTCCATTTGTATGAGATGTCCAGATTAGGCAAATTTGTAGAGACAGAAGGTAAATTAGTGGTTACCAGGGGCTAGGGAGAAGAGGGTATGGGAAGTGACTGCTTGATGGGTACAGGGTTTTGTTTTGGGGTGATGAAATGTTCTGGAACTAGGTAGTGGTAATGGCTGCACAACATGTTGAATAAACTAAAAACTGCTAAATTGCACACTTAAAAATAGTTAAAATGATCTATCTTATGTTATGTGAATTTTATCTTAATTTTTAAAAGTATACATATATTTACAAATGGGAGCACACTGTACTTTACCTTGAAACTTTGATTCTTCCCTTAACAACATAATTTTTTCATTTTTATAAAGTCAGAATTATTGATCTTTTCTGTTATAGATCCTCGGATTTTTGTCACATCTTTTATCTCCTGGAACATATTAGGCATATTTATTTTCAACTCTGAGTCCAATAATGCCATTATCAAAATATTGGTCCTTTTCCATCGTTTGTTGTTTGCCTCCGCTTTCTGTCATGCATCTTGTATCCCCCTATGCCTTGTGGGCATATTTGTATAAAGTTAATATTTGTATAAAGTTCTGGACATTGTACATGAAAACTTGAAGAAATAATTTGAGGCCAACTTTCTTCTAGAGAGGATCTACTTTTTCTTTTGGCAGGTGGCTAGGAACACCAGCTATCTAGGATAATCTCAATTCAATTTCAGGAATTAGATGATTCAAAGTTTTGCTTCAATCCCTATACAATCAGTCTACTTCTAGCTCGCCCTTACTCCTGGGGTATGCCCGCAGGGTCCTAACCTAAGAAATGAGGGTTTGGGGGTAATGTCAGAGAAAATAATGGAATAGGTAGCTCCCAGGTCCTATCCCTCCATAGAAACACTGAAAACTCAAGCCAAAAAACTGTCAGAATCAACCTTCACAGAACTTTGGTTAACAACGTTTACAGCAGCCCAACAAATCAA